GTCTCAAAAGAAAACTTGTCCAAAAATCCGATAGTGTAACATTGTGACTAGCGAAAATGAGACCTACTTAGATAAGGGAACAGAGAGCTGAATTTGCTATGTACACCTGAATTTACTACCTGCCTCTTTATTCATACTGATTTTTTCAAAAACTAAAATTTTTTGTGCATGGGACTCTCGCGGGACTTTTTGTGGAGTCCCGTAGGACTCCCTATGGATTTTTTGAGAAAAAAAAGTCCCGCGGAAATCCATCGGGACTCCCGCGGGAGTTTTTTACAAAACGGGACTTCTGCCGGGACTCTCGACTAGGGGTACGGTTATGCTTCGCCGCATTAACAACAATACTCTGATTACAGAACATCATCAGCTTGATTTTCTGTTTCATTATGTGACGCGTGCCCAAGACGTGCATAACAATCTGGTGCCTAAAATTTCTGTGCAGAACATTCCTGGTGCATAAGATGTCCGTGCGCGTGAATCGGTACGCAACATTGTTCATGCGTATCGTTCCTAAATCCGATCATCTGAGATATTGGTTGTTACAGATACCTGTCTATACATTCAGTTTCCTCCCGATGATGAGTCGTCACTAAGAATAAACTTTACGTAAAAGCAGACAGCTTTTCTTTGTCAGGTGATTTTGACTCGAGTGATTCTTTTTTTCTGTTTGAATGAAAATTGTCATGAATATACTCGAAAATATTTTCATAATTCTTCCGATCAAATACCGTGCGATATCGAAGAGTATAATGATTCTACTGGTTCTGTTTCAAGCCTGATGTGGATAATAATCTTTTAATTTAATATTAGTATTCAGAATATCAGTACGAACATTCTCAACATATTCAAAAACTCATTATACACTACTAATATAAAAATATGATACTACATTTGAAACTTGTTGGTCGAAAAGCAGTAGCTTATGTTGAAGGACGTATAATTTGTTTTTGTTCACTCAGTTTTCAATCTCAAAAATCAATTTAACCTTGTAATGGATGACAAAGTTCAATAGAATATGGGATTAGTTCTAATTTAAGTAAAGCATATCAAAAAAGAATTTCAGATCGTTCATCCAAAACTGCTGAAGATTCAAACTATCTTTTTTTCATCTGTATGATGATCAGGTAGTATTGAAAAGAGAATATACACTATACACTCCAAGCATAAAAAAATAATATAGTATCGTCCGATTCGTCTAGATTACTACATTTTTACCCGATTGTAATGATTTGCTAACGACAGTGGAAATCTAGTAATCGACGATTGCTAGATTTCCCCTCAGTTGCAACTATTGATTTATTGTCCGAGAATCTATCGATTTAACTATTGCTAGTTCCACATGCAGACGCATCTAGTTAAACGTCCCTTTTCTACCTAGTAATCTAGATGACAGCTAGTCGTGCATCGCCCGATTACAGACGAAATGTATCTAGATTTTTCCCATAGGTAAGTTTTGCTTGGGACTAAGCCTTCTGAATCGGCTTAAGTAAAGTGAATCAGGCTACAAATCACTATCTATATGATATTATTGCAGTCACGAATACAAACGATTTTTTTCGAACTTTTCGACTGAGATTTTTGATAAAAAATCAAAGTTATCCAAAAAACTTGGAACACACATCAATCAATTTCGTTTTTGATGTTGATTCCAAGTATAACATTCGTTTTGCAATAGGTTGGATGGCTATCGTCGTGTGTGTTATGTATACTCCAGCTGAGTTTTGAAATTTTTATTAACAAAAACAGAGAAGAGAAGACTAGTATTAAAATGCTAAAGCGTTTTCGAATTTCTTCGTCCGTTGCAAATAAGTCTTCTCTGTGTTTTTGTTAATAAAAATTTCAAAAATCAGCTGGAGTATACATAACGCGCACGATGATCGCCATCCAACCTATTGATTAACAGCAAAATACGATAGCGTTTCCATGGTTTTTGCTAAAGGTGCTTACCTATGATGAAAGAAACAGATTCCTGTTTCGAATAAGAAATATCTAAACATAAGGCTTTTTATAGCGGAGAAAACACTATAAAATGGGAGTCATGTCTGTTTTTTTACTCAGCGCATTTATACTCAAACATGCATTTGAATTGCAAAAAGATGTCTCAGCTTCGTGGTTTACCATAGGTATTAGATGTAAGGAAGTGAACATTTCTAAAATAGCCTATTCGATGCGGTTTTATTCTTGGATTACAAATATGATATTAGTTTTTATTAGAAGTAGAAAATGAGTGAAAAAAGAGGAAAAAACTTTTTTCCATTATGTGTGTTTAGGCCTCTTTTTTCTGGTATTTGATCTCTAACTTTTTTGGCCAGCGAAATTTAGACAGATTGTTATCTGTTTTTTCTTCCTTGTTGGGAGAGAAAATTTTTCCTAAAAAAATCTTATTGGAAGGCACATTGGCCGCAGAACGGCAGATTACTCTTTACATGGCACATCTTTCATGTATATCCTCCACTTTCAAGTTTTTGTCCTATAACTTTTTTGTGGTATATGATGCTGGAAAATATGTGACTTTGAAGAGCGTTCGCAGCTCTATCCAGCGGCATGTGAACCAACATCTCATGTCTCTTCGTTACTTTTTGTCACTTCACTTTATGTAACACATTATGCACATGTCCGAAAAAGGTTGAGATCTCATTATTCCGGCACCCTTAAAGTTAAAAAAAGTTTTTTACAGAAAATTCGCCCGTTAAATTCGCTACAAAACTACCATTGTTTGAATTCAAAATCGAAAGCTTTCTTAACCGGCAGTATCCTTTCTAATTTTTTCATAATGTCGTTGATATTTAAATAATAAAAAGAATGTCCCCGTTAACTTGAGAAAAACATTCGTCATAGATCAAACCATTGGCTTTCGTTCGCCCTATAAACACGTCACAGCTGAGTGGATGAATATATACACCTTGTTTCTTGTGTACAACACACATACGCAGATACAATGAATACAGATTATCTATTGATGCTCGTACGGTGTCTAGTAAATTTATGAGAATTCTTTACTTCATATATTTATTCTTCGGTTGTTCTAACATGTTCATGTGCAATTATATTCTAGTGTAAATCATATAGAAAATGAGTTATTATAGTTTGAATTAAAGATTCGCACATTCACTAATGGATGATTCTACAAAAAAATGAGTAGAGTTTCTACTAGACTCACCAATAATCTGTCTCATTTTCTTTTATCAAAATTTTATCGGTCAAATAAGAGGCGAATTGGTAAGCATTATAATTAATGCACATTATAATCAATTTTTCAACAAACTAACTTATTTCTTTAGGTTTCACATTGACAAGGTGTTTAGTATTCTCAGCTATTATTTTTTCTATGTTAAATGTTATATATTCATTTGTACAACTTTCTGTATCACACTCTTCTATGTCCAAATTAGATTTATTTTTAAATAATACATTATGTGGTCTCATTATTCAAGATTCGCCTGATTATACAGAAGCGCAAATTGTTGAAGCACAATTAAATCTTCATAAACGTTATGATTATTTGGAAAAAATTAAGTATTCTGAAATGCAATGTTCGGAATTTATAAAAATGAATCAATTTAATGTGCAACCTGTTACACAAATGGAACAAAATTTTTCATTAGCCTACACGATTCTAGTATATCAGAATTTATATCAGTTTCAAGTATTATTGAGACTTATTTATCGCGTATCGAACTACTATTGTATACATGTTGATAAAGATGCACCATCTTTTATTTATAATTATGCGAAAAAAGCAAGTGAATGTTTGAAAAATATTTATGAAGCACCGGATAGGATCCATGTTGTCTGGAGTGAATTTTCAACATTACAAGCAGAACGAACTTGTCAAATATTTTTACTAGAAAACTTTCCTGGATGGAAATATTATATGAATTTAGGTAAGTATACAATAAAATTAAGAGGATTTAGTTCAACCTACTGATTAATATTATGTTTCAGTCATTGTGACATATGTGAGTCAGGTTTGTCACAAGTATTCGTTTAATTGCTTTGCTTATAACATCGATGCATCTAGCTGATGACAAAAAAGTACGCATCAGATATGTTTATTATCATGATTCAGTTGCACAGTTACTTTTCTCACTTAGTAAAATAATAGAAGTAAGAAAAGTAATATTTAATGAAAATTGCGTATAATGGTCTCAACAACATCAAGTTGCTTATGGCCTTCAGAGTAGTGGACACCTTCCATGTAGAAAACAGTATTCTGAATTATTTATTATTCTTTGAATACGACGCTAGTGTGTGATGTTCAACCTTTCGAAGAATGAAGTAACAGTATGGATCTTAGATCAAATTTAATATCGTTCTTATATTTTCATGTAAGGAGAATAATGTAGCAGGAGGGCACTTCCATTCAGATCTACCCACCATTACATGCCGCGAAGATTTCAACATGAGCATCGCGTAGAGCATAAAAAGTTAGCCATAGTACATTAGGCTTACAAAAAGACATATAGGACACAGTTCTCTGTAGGACGAAAGTTTTACGGGTGTTCTTAGGGTTTTACGCTCGAAACAAAATAAACTCTTGACTACCGTCGATAAAAATGAACCGGTGGGAACGCTGATAAAAATAGCTATTGACGTTTTTGAAGAATGATCAATTTAATGAAACAAATTGGAAAGTTTGAGCTCATATATCTCAAAATCTGCCCGCAGGTTTTCTCTAATTATTGTCAGAGTAGATAGAGCTCATCGAGCTCTACAAAATGGCTGTAGCCGATGTTTGGGCAAACGTCGTCTTCATCATCATCTTGAGGCTCGAAATTCAGAACATTTCGATCGTCTTTTTACGATTTACGCACGTTTCTACGTATGTATATTTGCACCAATAATTCACGTATATAGATCATGCTAAACCGCAGCAAAGGCCTTGTCTACCCTACAAAAATAAAGGAGCTTTAAGCAATTCTATTGGCTGAAAGTTAAAGGATGTTTTCTCGACGTCCTTTAACTTCTTCCTTAACTTTCTTTAATAATGACTGGTCATTAGAAGCCAGTAACAAGCTTGCATTAGACATCGAATGTACTAATATTTTTGCGTAACAGAAACAACCTGTTGGTTGTTGCGCGGTGTAGACAAGCCCGGAGACATTAAATTACGCCGAACATATGGCATTCTGATTGTTGAAAGAAGTTACTTACCAAAAATCTGCTTTTATCAAGAGACTTGGTTGACACTATATATTAGTTACGAGGTGTTTATTACTAGAAATAAGCAGCTAAACTTGAGAAATTTTCGTTACTACGGCCACATCTGACCTACACATTTTCCTACAACGATTTTCTGATTCCCTTTTTCTTTTACTTTCACTAATTGTTGACGTGTATTGGTCCGAATTTCTGCCAACAGAAATGCGAGGAAAAGATCTCTATTCATATACATTCCAGAATTTCCATAGTGATTTGTTTTTAGTTTATTATGATTAAAAACAGCTAAAATTAGAAAACTAATGATAAGAGAAGCTATTTGGGCGTAACAGATGTAAAAAATAGAGTAAAAAACGTACATAAATCGTAAAAAGACGATCGAAATGTTCTGAATTTCGAGCCTCAAGATGATGATGAAGACGACGTTTGCCCAAACATCGGCTACAGCCATTTTGTAGAGCTCGATGAGCTCTATCTACTCTGAC